AGGAGACTCACTTGAGCCCAGGAGTTGGAGGTTGCTGTGAGCGTGATGCCATGGCACTCTACCCAGGGGGACAGCTTGAGGCTCTGTCTCAAAAAAAAAACAAAAAAAAAACAAAAAAAAACATTATGCTAAGGGGTGGGGGTGGGGGAAAAAAACATTATGCTAGGCTCAGCGCCTGTGGCTCAAGCGGCTAAGGTGGCCACATACACCTGAGCTGGCAGGTTGGAATCCAGCCCGGGCCCGCCAAACAACAATTATGGCCGCAACCAAACAATAGCCTGGTGTTGTGGCAGGCACCTGTAGTCCCAGCTACTGGGGAGGCAGAGGCAGGAGAATCGCTTGAGCCCAGGAGTTGGAGGTTGCTGTGAGCTGTGATGCCACAGCACTTTACCCAGGGCGACAGCTTGAGGCTCTGTCTCAAAATAATAATAATAAAAAAAAATAAAAAAATAAAAAGACAGACATGTAAATTAATTTGTCCCCATAACATGGACTGGGGGTGAGAAAAGCTCTCCACTCCCTTAAATAAGGCTTCCTGGTTACACAGTTTCAAGTGGAAATCTAAAATGGACATTTTTAACATCAGAAATCTATAGCCAGGCTGGGCCTAGTGGCTTACGCCTGGCCTGTAATCCTGGCACTCTGGGAGGCCCAGGCAGGTGGACCACCTGGGCTCAGCAGTTCAAGATGAGCCTGAGCAACAAGGCTGACTGTTGTCTCTACTAAAATTAGAAAAATTAGGCGCTGTGTTAGGCACCTGTAGTCCCAGCCACTCAGAAGGCTAAGGCAAAAGGATAGCTTGACCTCAAGAGTTTGAGGTTGCTATGAACTATGATGATGATGCTATGGCACTCTGCCCAGGGCAACAGAGTGAGACTGTGGGAAGGGAAGGGGGAGGGGAAGGAAAGGAAAGAAATCTATGGCCAGTGCATGGCACAGGTCTGAAAGATTATCCATGATTATCAGGCTCTCTTTGGTATCGTTTTATAAAACTCATAAAGAAAAAAAAGCTTGTAAAGTAAGGCTAGGAAGTTAATATTCCAGAAATGTGATAGGTAGGTGTTGATTTAATTAGTAGCCACTAATTAAAATGGTGAAGATGCTTTTCTTTTGCTATGAAAATGGCTGTAATCGTGTCTGTATATACCACCTGCAAATGTAGCCTCTCTGGGGAAATCTAGCGTGAGTCTGGAAAGCATGGCCTAAGAAAGGAGTGTTAGGGTAGAAATATGCTCTATTTGGGGGTGATAGCTGATGGGTGCATGGGTTATGAAGGAGACATACGTACATCCTCTGATAAAGATAAAATTATTTAAAAATGTTGCTAATAAATAACAAGGAGTAATTAAACAAGAAATCAAAGAAAATTTATTACAAAAAGAATTTATTAGACTTACACACCAATAAATTGAGTCTAAGGATTTGGTTGGAAAGCCACTGGGCCTTTTAAAGCAGCAGAAGTTCAAAGTCACACACTTCAAGCATTATTCCATGACAGTTTGTGGAAACGAGGGTCAGGAATTACAGGGCCATGCCAGTCCACAGGGGAGCCTCCCACCTCCCTCCCTGTGCCCTCTTTTTAACTGAAGTCCTTGATTCTGCCATCTGAGAGGACTGGAATTAAATATTTCCACCTTATTACAGAAATTCAGCTTTGTTACAGAGTTTGCCCTGTGCATTTGACTCACTTGTTTGCCTTTGGGAAACCAACAAGCAGTTATTGAAGAAGTGTTTACCAACATGCAAAGTGAACAGAATAAAATTCTCTATTATAGTAACTGCCTTTTTAATCTCATCTGGCACCAGTTGTCTTTTAGAAGGTTATAATGTGTTGTTGGGGATATTGTTCTTCTTTACACTAGAAAGAAAGGAGTCTAATTAGTAAGTAATACATAATTAGATATTTACTCTCAAGCTTTATGACTCAATTATGAAGTCTTAATTTAGGAGAAAGGTGGGTATCTTCCATCATTCCTGATAACAGAACTAGATATTTAAAAATTATAACAAATCTGTTCCCAATACCAAAGACTGTGCTTTTACTTTGAAGCCATTGCTCATTAAATTTCATTGTTAATGGCTCAGCGCCTATAGCTCAACCGGCTAAGGCGCCAGCCACCTACACCTAAGGTGGCGGGTTCGAATCCCCAGCCCGGACCCACCAAACAACAATGAGGGCTGCAACCAAAAAAAAAAAATAGCCGGGCATTGTGGCGGGCGCCTGTGGTCCCAGCTACTTGGGAGGCGGAGGCAGGAGACTCGCTTGAGCCCAGGAGTTGGAGGTTGCTGTGAGCTGTAATGCCACGGCACTCTACCCAGGGGCACAGCTTGAGGCTCTGTCTCAAAAAAAAAATAAAAATTTCATTGTTAACAGCATAGGCTACAAAAAGATAGCCAGGAATATAGTATTCATACAGATCTCAGCTGGCCACAAATAATCAAAGTGGGTTGCTGAGACGTAGGCTACAAGATCCTATGACATAGAAAACTAAAGGAAGACATTCCAAACAAAACTGGCAAGGAAATTTTTTGGAAGATGTAAATTTTTTTAAGGGAGATAATAAAAGTAGCAGTTAGAATGTGTGTTCATGTAAGTTCTTGCAGTTGAATTGGTTAGGAACATGGGTTTGGTTTCCATGGTAGCTCCTTACACCCAGGAAGAAGTATCACTTGCACAGCACCATACCAGGAAAGTCTGTTTGGAACAAGAATTGCTTTCAAGTCGGAATCCTAGATGAAGATCTACAAACGCTGAATTTGTGCTTTTAAAAAATAGTTCAAATGTTCATATGTAGCGTGTGCTGGTGGGGCCAGCTCTCTCCCAACCTGGCTCACTATTTGGGAGTCCAGGAATTGCTGAGACAGATAGATTAGCCAAGAATGAAGTTTTAACATATCAAATATCTGAAATCAAAATAGGCAGCCTCCTGCATAGACTCCGTGCTATTTGCTGAGCCATGACTTCCTTCATTATTATTTTTATGCATTTGGGGTCACTGTGAGGTTTGACCCAAGCTGAAAACGTGCAGTGTAGCAGACCTGTGTCTACATTAGCAGCCAAGTCTAGCTACCAAGCTGGGTTACCCTTCCTAAACAAACTTGGGGCCTACTCAGAAGAATAAGGTACCCACTCTCTCAGGAATAGCCTGCAGAGTCTGTTTGGAATGAGTATCGTGCTCCAATCCAAATCCTAAATAGCCATCTAGAAATGTTAAGTTCTAAGGAATTTTAAAACCAGCCTATTTCACACTGGCAGTTCGTGCATGGGCCAAGCTCTCCTAGCTTCATTGAGTATTTGGAAGGAATCCTGGGTTTGGGCCAATAATCAAGTATGAAGAGGGACGCAGGCTCGGCGCCTGTGGCTCAGGTGGCTAAGGCGCCAGCCACATACACCTAAGGTGGCGGGTTGGAATCCCCAGCCCGGGCCCGCCAAACAACAATGATGGCTGCAACCAAAAAATGGCC